GTATACTTGAACAAATTACTCTTAAGCAAATTTCTAATCAGCCAATGACATAGCAGGAATGGCTATAGGCATTTAAACAGAGACTTTTAAGAGAGCATAATTTTTGGTGCCAAACAGGTGGGTCTGAGTATTTGAAAAACTGCTGATCGGCTAAAATTTTCTCGTGGACTTACATAGAATGATTAAAGAAAAATAAAAAAGGTTCTAGTGACTGGAAATCGTTTGTTAATGAAAGGTCAGAGAAGAATAGCTCATGCTGATCAAAAGGTCACATAACCAATCCTTACAATGGAAATATATAGAAGAGTATCTCTAAATGTACAATAGGTTAAACCTTTTAACAGATCATGCCAGGTACCACTTCTGTCAGATAAAAACAATAATCCAAGGCTACAATTCACTTGAAATCACAAAATTTGGACTATATAGGATCGAAATAAAACATTCCCTAGTTCGATGAATTTTTAACTTCTGCTGCAACATTTGAATGGTAGGACCAGAATTTGGCATAAAGAAAATGGATCCATCCTGCTTTGTACCAGGCTGCTGAAGGAGATATTGGAACCCTTGGTACAAATAAATAAAAGATCATTTAAATGCCACAGCCTACCCAGATATTGTAACTGATCATGTACCGGATACTAGATGAGTATACCCAATGAAAATGCCTGGTGAGTATACATAATATAATTTACACAGTAAAAGTAGTCTCTGATTTACAATAAGTGTTTTTGTTTTTTTTCTTCGGGAAAAGAAATTACTACAATTCTTTCAGGCTTCTATACAATAATTATAGATCTTGAAATCCAATGAATTAAATGACACTATAAAACATTTTTTCTGTATCTTGCTATCATGTATCCTTACATGTTAACTACCTCTGTAACCCAAATATTTTTTATGAAATATTTTTAAAATAACCAAAAATATTAATAGTAGCAAATTCATTTTTTTTTTACATCATTAAGACAATTTTTATATAAAAACATTTCAGATGTAGCAACCTAGCATATTAATTTTCTTTTAATATTTCAATCAAATTAAAAAAAAAAAAAAAAAAAAAAAAAAAAAAGGATTAATATTAATTCTTTTGTTTTATAAAATTAAAATTTCCTAAACAATGTATTTTAAATGGCAGATCTTAATTTAACTCTCATTTAAATCAATTTCAATTTTCTAAATTAACCTACTTTTTAATTTAAAAAATTCAAATTGACTTAAATTTTCCAGGGATTTATCTTTTTAATGTGTTCTGTTAAAAATATTTCTATTAATTACTTTAAAAAAAAAATAAATAAATAAATAAAAATAAAAGTGACTTTCATAATTCAGTAATTAATGAATAAATATTAAATTTCATTGAATTGAAATTTTAAATTGATTAAATAAAATTTTCAAAATGATTTTTTTGTTTTTGTACAAATGTAAAAAAATTTGCAATAAAAAAAATAGTTTTATCAGATGAATAAATTTTATCTCAGTCTATTTTGTTGACTGTTGAAATACAGGCTTTCATCTAACAGCAATTTAGTAATTTGCTTATGCTATTACATAAATTTAATTACATAGTGTGGCCAATGTTTATTGCTTTGCTTTTTCAATTAATAATACAATTGTGGTAATTTAGTGTTTATTTTAAGTTCCTATCTCAATAGAATATATTTAAAAGTGAATTTAATATGATTTTTCAACTTAAAATATCAGTTTCAGTACCTAATTATGTAAATATTCTAGGTAAGTTGTATCAAGAACTATTTATATATTCTTGACAAATTGTATATATAATGATCTAGATTTTATTCTATACATATAAGTTTTAATACTGCAATATAACCTAATATTGCATAAACTTTATTGAATATAAACATTTTGGATATTTAGCAACAACTTTATTATAGAAAAAAAATGATATGCAATGACACAATTTAGATTAAGATCTACATTGTGACATTTCTTATATGAATTCAAGTTGCTGCTAAAATAATCAGAAATAGATGGTTTGTAATAGCAACAAAGTTTTGTTTTGTTAAAGGACAATATCTTGATATGGTTGTTTCCCTTAAATTTTAAAATTATAAAATCTAAATTTAGATTTTTCTTTTTAAATGTTTGTGAAAATTTATTTACATGGTGAAAACTTGTACTTACATTGTTTGGGCTGTTGCCCTCATCCTTATTGCCATATTCACAATGTTTCAGCCTTTGTACATTCCAGGCTTATTAATTGGAATTTCAAATCGAACCCTTCCACAATTGCCAAAGTGTGATTATGGCAATAAAGATGAGGACAACAGTCGAAACAATGTAAATAGTTAGATCTCAGAAAGAGTAAATAGACAGATAATTATTTTTATCTTAACCAAGAAGAATTATGTCCTCAAGCTTTGGAATCTCAATTGCTAACAAAGTTAAATCATAAAGGCTTAATTTTAAATTTAGAAATTGATTTTTATTGGTCAGCACTTAACCAATCAACTGAGATTTGACAAATATTAACTTGAAAGTGATTCACTTGACATAACAGCTTTTATAATTTAACTAAAAATAGTTCCAACAAAATTGAACTAAGTGAACATATTGAATAAAAAAACATTTGGATAGGAGGGAATGGCCTATTTTAGCTTCTAATAAAAATTGAAATAATTTAGTCACAAAATAAACTGTATTCAAGGAACAGTTTGGGATATTTTACTTGTAAATGCTACTTAAGAAGCAAAAATAGTCACATTGTTATAATGGCAACAGTACCAAGAATTCCCCGAATTAATGTATTAACTATTTACATAGTTTGCTTGTAAAGACAGCAAGTATCCATATATACATAAAATAGAGAAGTGATAATTTCATTAATTTCCACATAAATATTACTCAAAATTTAATTCAGCGTATAGTCATACTCTAAATGCTTGTCATATTTCCAAATATGTTCATATAAAATTTTAAATGATAATCCTAAATATGTAATCATTTCACAGAAATACAATTTTTCTGCATTAATGCATGTAAAATAGTTACTAATGAATGTCAAAATAACTGCTTTTTCTTTTTACTCTGCTGACTCTTAGAATTAGGTTTTGCTTCATTAAAATTGTTTGCTAAAACATAAATTAATCACTACACCTACTTGATGTAAAGCTATTGATTCAGTTGTTTGAAGGTAAAAAAATTAAATAGTAGGGGAGACAACTTATGAACGAGTAAAAAAGCTCGATATTATTGATGGTTTATGAAAAAAATACTAGACATGCTACTTGAAATGGTTATTTAGAATATAAAAAAATTGAAACTAATTCTACACAACGCAATTTGATTTGTGTAATATCAAAGGTATTTAGTATTTGAAAGCAATACAGCATTACAGTATGTTGTAAGCTGATTTGATTTGCAATGACTATTTATAGAAAACAAGAAAAGAAAAATAGATTTTTTTTTTTAATATACATGAAACACTTTTGTAACATTTATCCTGAAAAGATGTTTGTCTTCAGATGCGCAATCAGATACCTCACCTCCATACAAGAAAAAGAGGGTATGCAATCCACACATAAAATTTCTTAAAAATTGAAATCATTTGAGCAAATGATGTTTACTATATTCCCAATATCATTTTTTTCTGTAAAAAAAAAAAAATAAATAAATAAATAAATAAAATTAAAAAAATCTAATTTTAATCTCAGAAAATTTAGGCAAGGAATGAAAGTTTCTGCAGTATGCAAAACTACAGGTCATAAACTGAATTTTTCTGTTTTTAATAAATACAAAAATGTCAAAAATGTTTCACAACCAGTTTTAATGGTGTTTATTTCCTTTTAAAAAATCTCTTACAAGTCACTTGATAATCATTCATTTTATATATATATATATATATATAAAATTTAGCAAATATAAGATCTGATTTTTTTTAACTCCAATTAAATAAATATTTTAACAATAATGCCAATAGATTGATTCTCCAGTTTCAACTGTACTGCAAAAAAACTTATTTAAAATTACTTTTATACCAACATAAATATTAAATAAAAAAAAGTCTAAACAATAAATTTTAAGAATTTACAGAGGTTAATACATAAGAAGATATACAGTGTTCATTGGACAGAGCACCTTGAGTTATGTCACAGCCACACCCTAAAAAAAAAATGCTAAGATGACATCCCACTCAGAGTTGATACCACTAAGAAATAATAACCATACAACTGCAGCCACACCCTAGTAAAAACTACCAAGGGAAACTGAAGAGACTGATTCAGAATATATGGTAATAACTCCAAGTATGATTGCTCCAATATATAAAATCTGAAGCAGCTGAAGTGATAGAAAAATCTAGCAAAAACTAAATGTCATATCACACCTAGGCAAATGTAATATTTTTTGGCAGGGATTACATCATATCTACTCATCAAAGATTGAGTCTTGATAATATTAGTATGTAGCAAACAGAAAAAAAAAGTACTTCCAAGACATCTGGCTTAGGTAATCATTCATTTATTTATGACATGATGAATGAATAGCCAAAATTATATCAACAAATTTACAATAACTTAGCCTTTTCAAAAAATGTTATTAATAACCAACTTAAACATTTAATTGAAATTTTGGGTATATTTTATTTACTTCTGTATGATTATGTGCTTTCTGTCTTCAACCTCAAACGAATATAAAAAATAATTTTTTTTTTTTTTTGCAATATGATAAAAACTGGAAAGTGACTTTTTTCTTTTTTTTTTTCTTTTTTTATTTTGCATTTTTATTGTTTCTGCTTTCCTTTTTAGAAATATGATATTTCCTTTCCATTTTGTTGACATTCTGATTTCATTTTTACTTTAAAAAAAAAGAAAAAAAAAATTAATTAAATGCTACATTGAAGAAGCAGTCAGAAATCCACAAATATTGTGACTTTCTGCTGGAAATCAGTGGTGTCACCATATTATCAAAGGATCAAAGCAGATTTTTAAAATGAGCCTAATGAATGGGAAGATGTGAAGGACAGCAACTGCAGCAGTCTATGCTAGCAACCCAAGACGGCTCACCTTGGCTGATAAAAATGTGTGGATTACAAATACAATTGGCTTAGGACAAGTGCGAAGATCAAGTTCCTGAAAATAAACAAAAATAAATATTCCACTGAGAATAAGAATTCAATTTTGCTATCAAAACACAAGGGTCATTACACTTTACATAATTGTAATCAAAAACATGTCATTATCAAAATTATTGATATTATCAAGACAAAATATTGTTGCTGTGATCATCAAAATGCCCATGTAATTAATATTATCATTATTATTAGAATTCAGATTAAAACCCAAAGAGTAAAAATAAAAAGGATGAAAGACAAAATACCAGACGATCCCAGATCATTATTCTCATGGAGACAGATTCAATTAGAACAATAAAAATTAATAAATTATGGTTCTGAAATAAGTACAAATGAATGAATGATTCTAAATAATTTCTGCAAAACGATCTCTTTTCACTTTTATCCATCTTAATATTTTATCACATTATTATTTCAAAAGAATCCTTTAAAAAAAGTTAGTCTTTTTGGTGGGCACTATACAGAGTGGACCAAAAGTAAGTGGACAGTAGGTAGAATAAGTCAGTGTATCAGTTATATCATTACAATGGTGTTCATTATAACTATGGTATTTGTGGTATATTATTTTAAATTTTATAACTAAATTTATCTAATTTTTTTTCCTCAGATAATTGTATTAGTAAATATAATTGTATATGTAACCTCAAACAAATTTTATCATATACTGTCAACCTACTTTTGGACCACTCTGTGTATAGATAGATTTTATAAGCACCAATAATATTCTGACAATGTACATTTGCCAAAAGTCAAAATAATTTTTTTTAAAAATGCAATGTTGAAAAAAAGTCAAAACAAAACTCAAGATCTCAGAGAAAGAAATGACTAAAGAAGCCTAAACTATGACTAAATTATAAACTAAAACCTATTAAAAACTAACTTTGTATATTTGAAAAGCATATACTGTTAACAACATACTGAAGCAAATATTTCAATGAACAGAAAACTAAAGGGTAACAAAATTATTTTAGGAATAGTCTCTTGTAAAGACAAATTTAAGTAATCAGTTATATTTATAGTGTTTATTCAACTACTTTAATGGAGATAAATGACAAGTAATCAAATACTAATAAACAGTTATTTAGTAGAATTAAAGAGAGATATTTAATCAAACCACAGTTTATTTGCATTTTTCTCTTTTCAAATATTATTGAATGGCAAAGAAATGATTGTTTGATAATATCCATTTGATAAAAATAATGCTTGTTAAGAACTTACTTGCTCTCCTTCTCCAAAGTCTAACCACAACAAACGATGGCCATCATCAGCAGTCATACGCAACTTCTCAAAAGGATAATGCCATAAAATTGAATTTTTGGCCAATTCATCATCCTTTACCAATGTAAAACCATTTTCATAGTGCACTTGGAGTTTGGTTTCTTGTCGATTCCACATGGCCACTGGGGTAAATATATATGAAAATTACAAGATGGCAGATAAAACAAACACATTCAAGAATTAAAAACAAAATCATGGAAGAATATCTATGACTAACAAGGAAAAAGTTGTGAATAATAATAAAATTTTCAATGATTATTCAAAATCCTACCAAGAATGTATTTTACCTGCCCAAAATCTTCGTCCTGGGTATGATGATAAACTACATCCAACAGCAAGGAGGTTTTGAAGAGCGTGGAACCACCTCTTAATTGCTGGTGTTCCCAGGTCCACCCTGACCTTGGGTGGTAGCACCTGTTAGGGTCCCAGCTATGGGCAAATAGTTAACACCCAAACTTGTGTAAAAATAGGTTTTAATACCAGAAATACTTTGTAATAAAAAAATTATTACCAGCAATAATTTTCAAAGGAAAAATTATTAGCAATACTTTAAAAAAAAAAAAAAAAAAAAAAAAAAAATACCAGCAATACAAACAGCTATAAAAAAAAAATATGACCAGCTATATATTTCTTCAAGGAAAAATATTCCCAGAAATAGATTTTTGAAGAAAAACATTACCAGCAATTAAAATTTTGTCAGTATTAAATAACCCATTGAGGTTGATATGCCATAAACAAAAAACAAACCAAAACACCCAATGAAGTTATTCAAACTGATTAGAAACCTGATTTTCAGAAGAACTGATAGAAATCATATATCATCAACCCTCGGAATTTACAACTATTTTTGCATAAAATATAGACAAAACTCATTTTCTTGTACAAAGGGAAACATTTTGTCCATACCCTAACATGAAGTGTTGATAATGAAGCAAATACCTTGTAAAATATCAGCTTCTTTGCTTAAATAAAAAAAATAAAAATAAAAAAAAATAAAAATTTCTTTAATGAATAAATGACTGTAGAATATATTTAACAAAAAAGTTTATCTCTCTCTATGACCTCATCCAAGTAAGAGTTGAAGAAGAAAAAAAATATATATATGTGGCACCATTTACCAAGGCAGAAAAAGAAAAGAAAGGAAAGAAAGGAAAAGAGAGGTGAAGACCCAAAGCGTGGATGATAAGCAGAACACCCACGGCTAAAAGACAATGGATAAAGGATATTTTGATAAATAACAAATGGCGAAGAGTGTCATTACAATGAGAAAAAATTCTGAGTGGATAAAGGAATCGGGTGTGTTCTGACGACGGGCTGTGTTATTGGGATACATAAACAAACCGCTAATGCGGGAAAGCATCTGATTGGCAAACCACAGACCAACTAGCCAAAGAAAAATCCAAATGAAAATGTTATTTTGATAAGTGACGAAAAACAGGTGGACTACAGGGCTTTGGATAGATATGAAAAATTAATTGTGTCAAAAGCCGCACACGAGGTGGCCACTGACCGATTTCTTTCGACAGAACATCTTTAGCCTGCGATAATAAAACTATGTTATCAGAAATGTGGACCGAAAAAATGAATGGGAACCTAGAAATGTTTCTTTTCGAGGCGACAGTCTGGCCGTGTTAAAAAGACTACGCATTCTGATAATTAGCGATAAGATGACTGACGAAGCCCAGGTGAGAACAAGAGTTATGACCACCATCGATCGTATTGTTCTGTTTGCGGCTATAGAAAATGATAACTGCGATTAAAAGAAAGAAAAGGAAAAGATAATTTTTTTTGTTAAGCAAGATATTTTTTTTTTCCTGAAACAAAGCCGCAGGATCGTACACGCCCGACTAGGCATCATTGGTCGAGTGGTGATCACGTGACGCACGGAGGAGGCTGTCACCGCCCATTTAGAGGATGGGTATGAGAGGTTGCTACGAAGAAGTGGGGAGGGCAGTTCACGCCCCTCTGAAGTATGGTGAGAAGGTGGGAGTAAGAGAAGGCTCCCAAAAATGGAAAAAAAGTGGAAAATTCCTAACCAGAAATAAAAAGAGGTGGATATGTATTTAGAATTATCGAGGACCCCCGGCGCCGACAAACCCACCCCGGTTTTGGTCGGCGTCCATATAGCGGGAAGTCGCAGCGAGCAGAAATCAGTTCGAGTTAGAGTTTCAGTTCCAGCAGAGAGCTCGAAGTTCAGTGAAAGTTGTTTCCACCTCGCAGATAGCTGACTTGAAAGATTCACGCAAATTCGGACTCCTCTTCAATCCAAGAACAATTAATTTGAAGAGCGACTAAGATCCAGACCACCAAAATAAGTTTTTTTTTTTCGACTTTTTCAAAAAACACAAAAAAAACCCATTTCTTAAAGAGCAAACAACTTGAAGCGTTAAAACTCGCCTAACAGAAAACAACGTGTCACAATCCATAGAACGGTCGGAAATAGACGCAGTCCTATGTATCCAACAACTAGACATAAAGTTTGTTATCCTTTTTTTGATACCTTGAATTTTTTGAGTTATCATTTTATTTTCTTTTATGCATATTTGTGCGGTGTCACCCCTGTTTGAACCCGATTTGCATTACGGCCCCAACTACTGATTGATCTTGTCTGCCTAAGATCAATTCACAACGTGGGTAGGCAGACCGGAGATCAGTGCAGTTACTTTGGTAACCAGGTGTTTGAAGCGAGTTGGGAACGACGAGGCTGATATCGAATCTAACCAGATTCCCATCTGAATCACAAAAAGGTTAGAACGTCACATTTGGGTGCCGCGACCGATACCAAGCCAGTTGGTCGTCACAGGACGAGACAACACGACTGACGCGACAGGCGGACGTCACGTTTGGAGCGGCGACACCCAAACGGAGCAGCGAGAAGCGAGCGAAGGCTGTGTTTAGGGACGTCGCAGCGCCAGCTGCGACAAGGACGTCACATATATTTTCATAAGGCTAGTGATTACAATAAAGTATCAATTGGTTCTGACATGCTTACCAATTCTACTTTATAATTAGAAATGTAAGTTTGGGTTAACATTTTAAAGAGCAATTTACATTTGTTGGCAAATAAAGACTTTAAATTAATGTACTATACAATCAGGAAGGTCTAGTTTACTATGTTAACACAAATAAATTCATGTGTGTAAACAAAAAAAAATAGTTATTAGAAAACATTTTCAATTCAATGATCAAGCAAATTTTATCTTCCTTTAATTACTTCTTTCTTAAAACATGTATGGCAACACAATAGCAAAGATCATTTGGTTAAAAGTTTTAATAAAAATTGAATCACTTAAGTTAATATATTAAACAGAAATGTAACAATATCTATTCAATAATCTTACTTACAACAAGTGACTTCTTTGACTAACACAGCAGCTCCATGTGCACCTTGCACTAATGCTCGTGACCAATTTGCAAGGTCTCTCTGGGTTTCCACTCGAAATATATGTGTATCAATGCCTTGCCGGGTCCCAGAGCGTGTACCAAAGGTGAGAACATCAGATTCTGTAACCGGATTGTACTGACGACCAGAATGCACAAGTCTAAGAAAGAAAAAAAATATACAATAAGTTGTTTTTTTTTTGGTTTTTGTTTTTTTTTTTTATTTATTCTAAAAATATTGAATTTGTTATGCCCATTTTTCTATAAAAGAGAATTTTCACTGACTTAATTAAAATGACTGTTTCAGTGTGAAACTATCATAATGAGAAAAAGTTGGTATGAGCATAAATATAATTAAAAATAAAAAAGAAAGAAATTTTAAATATATTGACAATAGAACAGAACAAAAATTCATCTAATATTTAAAATTTCAATTTCTTTCATAAACTCATATATATATATATATATATATATATATATATATATATATATATATATATATATATAAAAATAGAAAAGAACTCGTTAGATAAATAATCTGAAGTTCTTTAGTATTTGTGTTTTTATTTTTAAACATTGCTCGATACAAAAGTAGAGCCTAAATTATAATTACTTTTTAAAAATATGATTCCTTCACTACATAAGAGCTGAAAACTTTAACATAATATATTCCACTAATTATATTGAAGTTTTCAGCTCTTGTTTTTGAAACATGAAAACTCTTATGTAGCGAAGGAATCATTTTTTTTAAATATTATGTGTGTGTGTGTGTGTGTATATATATATATATATATATATATTAATGCATGTTTCATTAAATAATATAGACAAGTTTTGTCTATTTATTTTAAGTTCCTTTCATGTTGTCTGATAAGCTTAATTACATTATCATTGAAAGACGAAAGGAAAACCCCATATCGATACATGTTTAAAGTCAATCTAAGCTTTCGGCTTACACAAGCCATTATCAAAGTTGACAATTTCAATAAATCAAACAACACACGGACGAAACAACAATGATAGTCTGCCCTTACTGCATGAAAATTTCCAAGTAATGACAAACTTGTATATACGAGATGCGGAAGCAAAAATCAATGCATCAATATGGTGTCTTCCTTTCGTCTTTCAACAATAATGTGATTAAGCTTATCAGACAATATGAAAGGAACTTACTTAAAATCAATAGACAAGAGTTTTCTGAGTTATTTAATGAAACATGCATTGATGAAAAATTGCTGTATATATATATATATATATATATATATAAAAGGCACGGTGGAGTAGTGGATAGTGGCTTGGATTGAGGAATCAGACGGCAGAATTCAAATTCCAATCAAATCCATTACATTCACTTATGTGCTAATACCCTATGGGTAAATAGCAGGACAGGCTGGGTTCTATAGTCTTGGATGGCAACTGGTCTAGGAGAAGCACAACTCTGAATTCAAAACCTGCAGAGGGTCATTTGGAAACCTTGTGGCACGTAGTGCACCAGGTCTCTTTGTATTCAGCCCTTCAAAAAGCGTGGTTGGTTCTGCACAAAGCCTTCACCACTATAATCAATGTCTGGCTGTCGGTTCCTAGGAACCAAGTTGCTTGACCCTCATACATCAAATACAACGGGAGAGTCCACCATATATCTTAAACTTTAAGCAAGAATATACAAAAAGAGATTGCAAAACGTGCCCCATAAAATCTATTAGTGAAATATCTGAAAATGTTTAAAAAAAAAAAAAAAAAATATGAACAAAGAAGGGATCTTAAACAAAATAACATACTCACCTTGTCATTTACAGAGATTATATATATATATAGTGAATGTAGACAAGATATTAATATCATTTCTATTGGGTTTTTTTTTATATTATGGATAGTATTAATTTAAGAAGGTTCTTTAAAAAAAAAAAAAAAACACACTCAATGCATTAGATGTTCATTGTAAAAGGTCTGATCATAATGTTGACTTAATGCAGTTCTGATAAAAAAAAATATTTACTAAGGCTAAAATGTTTTCAAAATGCATTAATTTGAAGATCCCCTGTGGCAAATATACATTTAGAATCATACAAAATATCTTTTGAGTAAAATGTATTACAACAGTTTCCATTACACACACACACACACACATAACTAAACAATTATTTACATTATTCAGACTATTGTCCTCATCTTTGGCGCCATAGTCCAAATAATGTAAATAATGTACATAATACCTCATCTCAGAAATACAGACAGATACTAAACAATTTTTGTTAAATTCAATCAACAAATTCTTAAAGTCTTAAATTTTTTTTTTTGAGTTTTCTAATTTTTGAATAAGATGTACATCCAAAATCAAAATTGTAGAAAACTGTTTTTGGTCTGTTTTCGATTGAGTAAATATCAATCATCTTAATCATTATCAAATTACAGGAGAGTAACACTGCACTTTCTTAGGCTCACATTTTCCACTGACATGAAATGGAAGGATTATATTAAATCAATTGCTAGTGCTACTGCTAGGAAATTTGGTTCCCAGACAATTCTCATCCGATTCCATTTTACACATTTATAAATTGACTATTCATTGAAGACTGCTGCCATATCTGGTCTGGTGCTTCTACTTAGATCAAGATTCTTGACAAAATCCAAAGAAGAGGGTCTATAACGTAATCAACCAGGACATGGAACCTCTACTACAATCACTTTCTCACCAACATGACATGGCTTCTCTCTGTTCTACAAATTGGCAATTGTTCTGATAAGCTTTTTTCGTTAGTTCCTCAGCTTTAAGCATGCTACTAAATTAGTAAGTAGGTCTCATGGTTTTATTGTTGTACTAGCTAGATACTACCATCAATTTTATTCTTTGATATCTCAAAACTTGAGAATACATCCTTTAAAACGATAACTGACCTGTAATAATGTTAAGAATCAGTTTAAATGATATTTATAAATATTTTTTTTTCACTCCTTCCCCTGCAAACTACTAATAGTTGACTTCACTAATCATTCAAATGATATGTTTAAAAGTAGTTTTAAGTTAAAGAATTTTATAGTAGAAATTAACAAATTAAAACCGTAAATTTTTAGAGTGAGGCACCAAACTTTGTTTGGGAAATAACAGAGGGTTAAGTTTAAGATCATTAAATTACCTCCATGGTTATCCACTGAAGCTGCAATCCACCGGGAAAAAAATATAAAAAAAAATAACAAAAAGAAACCAGTCCCCAGACCCACACACCTCAATGGACCATTTAAAAGTCAGTTTGCACAGTGGATTGGTTGTTACAAACATCTAATTGGGTGCAATTGAGTGAAAACATGGTCTATTTTATTTATTAAAAATGCCAGAGTATCTGCTAGCATTTGATTGCAAGGAGGAATCAGGGATTGATCTCCTCCGATTGGGTTGGCTTGGTGATGGGGTGTATGATGTTGAAAGACCCGAAACCCCTTGATGAACCAAGTCAATTTACATCATTGACGACTCACTCCAGTGCCTATTTAAGAGCGTATATTTCAAATTAAAAAAAAAAAAAGTAATATTTTCTTTTCTTGCCTGTAAAACTCCCTTCACAATTTCTTGCTTCCCTGCTACCATCTTCAAAAATTTTGTTGTCTTTCATTTCTTGAACCCCTGACCCTAGTGGCATTATCTCCAAGCTTGAGGTGAAATGATTAAAAAAGAATGCAAAAAAAATTATGGGTAATTATATAGGGAGTGTAAAAAAGACACACACAGCTTGTACTGACATCCAATAATTTCACAAATTCCTACTCATATATCATTTATCAAAAACTTTAAACCGACTTCCCCAGTTAATATCAACAAAGAAATTGAAAAACTTAAATAAACCTAATAACAACACCCTAGTCTTGTTTTACCAATGACCCTGTTAAAAAATAAATACAAAATGTATATAAACTTTCTTTGCCCCCACCTCCTAATATTACACAATTCTATATAAACTTCTATCTTGCACAAACCAAGTACATTTTTTTATGTTTATTATGGTGAATTTCCACATAGCAAACACATTCTATGTCTTACTTCATGTAATGTTGTTGAAAAGTAAATAAATCAGATTTAAAGAATTTTAGCAAAAAATAATACAACCAACCATCTAGATGTAAAAAAAATAAAAATAAAATAAAATAAAATAAAAAAAGAGTGAGAAAAGAAGACATTAACTTATTTTACTGTAACCAGATGCATCCTAACTAAGAAACCATTAAGAATATAATCCTCTGGTACATATCCCTTAATAATTCCAATACCAATAACTCAAATCCTTAAATTGGTCACACAAGCATCACACACTCTTGTAGGTTAACTTATCACTTATTAAAACAATCAGTTTCTTTCCATATCAATCATAACATGCAAAATACTATACAGGATTTGAATATCATTCACCACAAAATATGGCATTTTAAAGTATGTATAAAATATTTAATAGGCATATAAAATAATAAGTATAAATTATTTGACATTTATTTTCCACTGTTGTCAAACTCTGTGAAACCATTGTATACAGAACATCATTTAAACAATACAAATACATTTGAGTTTCAGATGTAGTGTTCCAACATGTGTCATAATGTAGTCAACAAAATTTTGTTTACCAAACTGACAACATATCGATCTAAAGAATGACTGAAACAATCAAAAACATGAACTTAAGTAATGTTTCTAAGAGAAGTCTGCACAATTTTTAACTAGAAATAGAATTGCTGGCATCAAGTGTTCAGGGTTAGTCAACTATGAGCCAAAAGCAATTTTTTTTTTACTGACAAATAAAATACTTACCTTGTAGCAAGCAATGAGTGACTCTGGAATGGAGTAGCCCATTCCTCTTTACTCCAAGGTGCAGTATCATACAGCAGCATGTCTTGATCAGTAAGGGCAACAAAGACAGCCTTCCAACTTGGATTTCCTTGTTCATTCACTAACTGAAATTAACATCAAAAACAAGTACTTTAAGTTTGTTTTTCTTTAACTCATTACATTATAAAGTGTAAATTAAATTAATTGATCATCAGGTATCAGATAATATAACTTGTTTTTAAATAAATTTTATTATGTTACAATTTCTCACTGATAAGTTATAAAGGTTTTTTCATTTTTTTTTTTTTTATTTAGTTGCAAAGATGAAGAGTAAAAATTGTATTGCTTTAAGCATTAGCAATTTGAAACATTGTCATCAACAGCAGCAATGTGAACAATATTATATCTGTGATGCTAATGGCTTTTTTTTAAAAATGCAAAACTTCCTGTTAAAAGCTTTAATATAGAGCATATATAATATAAACAAAGATGACAAAACGGTGAACAAACAGTGATGCAATATGAGATTTTTTACATACTAAGAACAAAAAATCTAACAAAAATTTCATATGAATTTTATATGTATTGCAAACGTGTAATGAGTAAGAAACATCAGCAGAGTAGTGTTCTCACAGAGAGATATACAAAGCTGTAAAACAAGTCTCATAACATGTTAATCAACAACCAAAAGTTGTTGTTAAACATGTTGAAGCTTTATAATTTAAAATATGGTTGTGGAAACTAATCTTTGAATGTCAGTGCTCCATGAATTTGTCTACAAGAATTTGGAATAATATAAAGGGTCATTCTGTTGGGTCCCAAAATGATTGACTGTCCCAACTGATCATGTAACATTAGGTTAATTGTTTGGGTTGTATGGGAATCTTTCAGTTTTTGGAGTGGTATAGAGGAGTTGATAAGGGCTTTTTGGAGCATATGAAACCTAAATGCATTGTGTTACAACGTTGATTTCATGACCTGGAAGCATCCATCACTGATGGCCTTCACAAAAATTCCAAAGCTTAACAGTCAGCAAAGAAATTAATGGCAATGCTGTTTCAGGATACAAAAGGTGTGTTGCTGGTGAATTTCATATCATATGGCTAGCAGGGTTCCCACAGAACCATGTAAAAAAAAAAAAAAAAAAAAAAAAGTTTCAAGGACTGAAACTGGTATAAACACATGCACACACAAAGTGAATGGTCATCAATTTCAAAAACAAACTTTGTGATTTATCTTTCAATAATTTATGTCATTACGGATTAGTTGAAAGCATTCACTGAAAGAAGAAATCAAAGTGTTGAAGGCTAAAACACAACTGAATGCAGAGCTGGTTATGTTACACATTTTGTGTGGCAATCTTCAGTTTGGAGTTCTACTACACTTGAAAATCTTGAATTACACACTTTAATTCTTACTGCTACACATTTCAGCTATTGAGCAGTCATGATTTGTGACAACGGCACATTTCCTGTGAAGTTATGTGTAGAGGTTTTAATGAACAAAACTTCAAATAGAAATTTTCACAGAAAGACTACACATTTTAGCTACCGCTACTACTCATGGCACAGAACAATGATTTTTTTCAGTTCATCTAGTTTAGCATTCAGACCCTCTTCCAATTTTGATATCTATGGATTTGTCCTTTTTAGATCTTCACATGGCATTGGACTTTGCAAGAAGTGTGAAGTTCTGAGACTGCTCAGCTTTCTCTGCATAACTGTCAGCTGACTTGAGCAAATCTTGCATGCAACTTTCAAGCTTGCATTTTTTGGTATTCAGTTCTTCAATTTCGATATGCATGGATTTCTGTTTTTGTCCAGTTGTTTCTTCCTGCCTTTTCTTGAGAGTCTCAAGGTATTGGTTGTATGTTATTCTGGCATTGGAAGCACTACAGAGAAGAACCTTAGTCATGGAAACATTCCCAGCACCTCCAACTGTGGCCAAATAGTCTGTGATAATGCACAGTGCAACCAGAGTCTGCTGTTTCATTTTGTCAATAGAAATTTCCTTATTGGTTGAGAAACCTCTCTCTACTGAGGACTGTCCACAAGAGAGTACCAGCAATCTTCAAACAACTTTCCAGGCTTTGATATTCTTTGTTGCTAGACAAAGAAGAGTAGAACAAAGTGTTCAGACAATCTTCATGCTTGCTGAAATTCCAGCAGCCTCCTTCTTAAAATCTTTGTACTGACTGTTGATATCATCATAATCAGACTTGTTGACTTGCTTTCTGTCCATCATGTGGGAAAGACATCTTTTTAGACCGTCTTCCATGGCAAATTTTCTTTTACAAATGGATCCAGGGTTCAGCCCTTGCAAGTGATCTTACAAGAGAGTATCAAAAGGAAGACTTTGCCAGAAGTTTCTAAGTGATGGTGATGAACATTGTTGCAATTCTGCATGCAAACAGATCTTTTGAAGACACATTTCCTTTTTTGGATAAATTTTGTATAGCCCTATCTGCCAGAAATCCACACTTGATCTTTGTAGCATCTTTATGCATGTTTGGGTTTGACAAAATTCTTGCAAATTCATTCATTTTGGAAAATGTAATTATCTTTTTAGTGTGATCTTTACTTACAAATTTTAACAGTTTCATGATCATGCTAAAAAGATCATCTGTAAGGAAAGGAAGAAACAGGTTATTACTAATATTTTATCAGAAACAGTTCAATGTCTTTCAAAACAGACACAAAAATCTGCATTCATGTTTAGCAGCACCACAGAGAAGGTCTGGGGACATTTTTCTGTTAAGTTCACAAATTTGATGACATCTGGCCAAATGTCCAGTTGTTCACATGTTTGTATGTTTTCTAGCCATCTATGGTAGAAATACAAAAGTAAAAATGAGACAGGGTTGATAGATTTAACTTTTAATATAAATCCAAGCAATAAAAGTAGGTACCTCCACTAATTCATGATAGTCAACTTTCATCGCAATGTAATGTTGTGTATTAAAAAATCTTCCAAAAATAAAATATACTTTTCTGAAACTTTATTTGAGGAATATTAACTGATTTAAAGCATACTTAGTCTGATTTGAAAAAATATTTAGTTCAAGTTTAAAATAACACAGAAACGCCTTTTTAAAATAAACAGTAGTTGTGTTTTTAACCAACATCACCATGTTTTAGGTAATGACTGATTGTTAAAACATAATTTAAGAAAACAACATGAGCACCTTTTTTATACAATTTTCAAGTACTCAGTAATCTTAAAAATGTTGGAAAATTAAAGTTGGTCGATTTGGGTATTTATGTTTCAGTATCAGTTTCCGGTTTTTATTCCTCGACACCAGGATTTTTAATTTGGTTTATCGGTTTTTAATTTAGTATTTTTGCTTTCTAAGGAAGCCATTCATTTTCTTGTGTAATGATAGCATTTCCAGTTGATATCTGATTTTGTTTGAAATTGATAAATTTACAACTTAGTCCATTCAACTGGCAAATTCTCATGTATTTCTGGTCTGATCTTAAAAATATTGATATGACTGGAAAGAAAATAAAATAATCTTTCTAAATATGTAATTTGTATGTGCTTTTATTCATTGAATACAAAACTGTATCGTGTAAATGTTTATGTTATTAAAAGGAAAGATCAAAGTATTTAGGGGGTATTTTTTTTTTTACATTTTTTTAATCATTCCTAGCACATCCAAAATTTTTGTTAAAAATTTTGTTTTTTTTAGTCAGCAAAAATCATGGCAACCATTTTTTTCCATTTTATAAAAAAATGAAAATCTCAGTTTGAAATTCTTTTAAACATCAATTATAATTTTTTCAAAACTTATTTTAAGAAAATCAGAAATTATATTTATTTAAAATATTTTGAAACAAGCTTAACTTTGTTTCTGTGCCGAAAAAATGTAGTTTGAAAATAAAACAAAGCAGGTCATAACATTTTGCGTCACTTGACAGGTGACAAAAGATATTTTCATGACATTGATAGCTTATGTGAGGATAATTCCTTCTACGAAAGGAGAGAAGTGAAATTATTTAGATTTAAATGAAAAAATTATTCACCTCATTATTTTTAAGGAAAACTTTCAGCACTCTAATTTTTTTTTTTTGGTACTTAGCTTTCACCTTTACATTTACAATGCTTTATGGAAAATATATTATAAAGAAATTTAAATAAGACTGTTGAGAGTGAGATTAAAGTTCATAAAGGTATCTAATTAATTTATAGTTACCTTCCTTATTAAATTTTATCAGAAGTGTAAATAAAATACAAATTTAAATTTCATAAGATGATACTGATACTCGTAGGTACCCTTCTTAGTTGAAATTGAAAAATCAAATTAAATTCTCTTTTTAGAGAAAAATAAATCTATCTCAAAAGGACATTGTTTAAAACTGAATGCAGCTTTTAACTAATTTTATAATATTTTAACAACTTAAATATAAAAATCTATTATAATTAAAGAAATAACAAATTGTATTAAAAATTCAGTATTTAAGTTAAATACTAGACAAAGACTCAATCCACATGATATCTTTTTTATTGCATGCATAATACTTCCGGTCTTCCGTAGATTTGATTTACAGTCTTATTATTGACACAAATTATATTTTTTATATACTGTTGTTCGTTAGTTTGTTAAGAAGTTTTGGAAATTATAATCTGTAAATATATATCTATTTAATAACAATATTCGTTAAATTTTACAAACTTTTCCCTAATTTTAGAAGAATTAACAACATAAATAAAAAATAATAAAATATTTCAGAAATAACAAATAATTGTTTTAAAAATTCATTTTTCATCGAAATATCTTTTTGCTTTCAGACAATATTGTCCATGTTCATTAAATAAAAGCAATTAAATCTTTTGAAATTAAAAAATATTTTTGTTTTATTGAGTTTTGTATGTTACAATTTATAGATGATTTTCAGGTAAAAGGTGGTCCAATTAAAAAAAAAAAAGAAAAAAAAAAAGTTATGCAGTTTTGAAAATCTACACATTTTAAAACTGAGATTAAAACTTACTTTATTTTTTAATATCCAATTTTAGGTGTATTCGCTAGACAATTTTACAGTACACATATCTGGAAATATACACATTTCAAAAGTGAAATTAAGAACTCTAATTTAATAAATTATTCTTAATATCTAATTTAGGT